CTTGGATACAGATTAAAGTAAAAACAATACCTCTATCTCTATTTCAAGAATATTTAATTCAGACATTTTTTGTGACATACACTAAATAAATGTTACAAAATAATTCTAAAACTTGTTTTTTATAGTTTCCGACTGTCATTTTTTGCTCATCTTTGAGGAGTCTCACCAGTAAACTTTTCCCACCTAACTGAGATTATAGGTTTACACCTGCTAAGAAACTGGTATCTCTTGAAAACATAATAAATCTTGTCTTATTTCTCACAAGATTTTCCTACTCTGTTAATTGTTTTATTACTACAACCCTCCTTTACCATCCTTTTATGATGTCAGATTCAGTGGTTTGAACAACAGCTATAGCAAATATGATCAGACAAAATATACTATAAAAAAAACTATTTATGTCAACATAAATGAGAATTTTTTTTTGTGCTTTCTGAAGATACCATTACATTTTACTAAGGAAGAGAAAACATTAAAATGAAGTTTGAACTCAACGATATTAAGATAAAATAATTAGACATTTTACACCGAACAACCGAAACTGCTTACTTCTTCTAAAGTGTATCTGGATCTAAAGGTCTGTCTTCTTCCCTAAAAAAAAACAACAACAAGATTTTACTAATTAATATTCAAACAAGTTTTGTGACAATAATTCAAACAATTACTCAAAAAATTTAAAGCATTTATCAAAATATTAAACATGGTACATGGTCCTGGGTAAATGTGGCTTTCTCTTCATTTTTTTATGCCTTAACCCTCTCTGTATGGGCTTAGTCATTTTGACAAGCCTTATAACAATGAAACTATACATAACTTTGTAACAAACATTACAAGACTTTTTACTTAAGATTTGTTTGTTAACTTATGAAGTTAGAGCATGATTCAGTCTCTGACTAGTCTGAGTGCAAAGTTATTTTCATGTTAAGATTAAAAATACTTTTTTTTTCATCTGGCAGTTATCAAATTTCTTTTAATATAATCTCCAGAACCTCCTAAATGAATATCAAATGTTTTTTTAAGTAAAACTTTATATTTTCTCTATTATAATGCTATGTGGAGTTGATCGATTTTACCGACCTTGTAACTACAACAAAAAATGTGAAGTAAATCTAAATTACCCATTGTTTCTTTCTAGGATGACTGCAGATGATAACAGAAAATTACAATTATTTAACTTAAGACTTGTAACAGTTTACATATGTTATTTTATTGCTCTCTGAACAGTGTCTAACAAACACCCCCAAAATCAAAGTTGTAAATTCACATGTTGACAGTATAGCTCAAATTACAGCATCAAATAACATAACATATAAGCTACTTGGGAGCATAAATTGTAGAAACTTCTAACCTAATATAACCTTTTCTAATTTTTACATGTTTAGTTATTTTTATAACAATAAATAAAAAATCTACATAAAAACAAGAAATTTAGTACTTATGTTTGGCTTTGTTTTTTTGCTATTGGCCCACTGATAAAACTTAAGTTTGCATTTAATGTAATGAGGATACTAGTACATCAAATAATTTTTACTTATTCCAACTATGCATTTAATAATAAAAATAACAACATGCACAAAGTAAACAATGTCCTATAACTATTATAATCTAACTGGCTTTCTAAGTCCATTAAAATAATACCCTTAGCTGTTCAGAAGCAACTCAGAAACTGTAGATAAAATAACTAAAAATATACTGGCAGCAACTAAAACCTGTAGATAAAATAACTAAAAATATACTGGCAGCATTTTAAGTCATTCTACTGGTTATAAATGATGTAATAGCAAATGTCAGAAAGAATTATTGGCAATTCATGAAGGAGAAGATGAAATAGGAAGGCATGGCAAGTGGGTTTGACCCTCTGGTTTATATCTCCAAAAACAAAGACGATTGAATGCTTTAAAAATTAGAAAAATTAACCCAATACATTAATGAGTAATTTGTCTTGAACAAGAGATGATGAAAACAATGGAGAATGAGCATGGCAGTGCACAGAAATGTCACGTTATACAGATGTGGAAAGAGTGGGTACATATTTCAAAATGTCCTTTGGTAATGAAGAAATTAAGACATAAATAATATTAAAATTGATTTATTAACTACTTTTGATGCCAAGTGTATTCACATACATTGATAATAACATAGTTTGATAAAACTGAATGAAACTCTAAAACAGTTGTGACATGTACACTCTTGTTTACCCACATTAAGATGGTTAATATGATCATTCATTAGGTTTGTATTCTGACTTTGGGCAATCGTTTAGAGATGGGTATTCTAGACAACTGTTAATTTAGAGAGACAGATAATCTTTAACAGACAGGTATTCTACACAACGGTCAATTTTTAACAGACAGGTATTTCATACAACGGTCAATCTTTAACAGACAGGTATTCTAGACAACTGTCAATCTTTAACAGACAGGTATTCTAAACAATGGTCAATCTTTGACAGACAGGTATTCTAGACAACTGTCAATGTTTAACAGACAGGTATTCTAGACAACGGTGAATCTTTAACAGACAGGTATTCTAGACAACGGTGAATCTTTAACAGACAGGTATTTCATACAACTGTCAATCTTTAACAGACAAGCATTCTAGACAACGGTCAATCTTTAACAGACAGGTATTCTAGACAACGGTCAATCTTTAACAGACAGGTATTCTAGACAACGGTGAATCTTTAACAGACAGGTATTTCATACAACTGTCAATCTTTAACAGACAAGCTCTGTTAAAGATTGACAGTTGTCTAGAATACCTGTCTGTTAAAGATTGACCATTGTCTAGAATACCTGTCTGTTAAAGATTGACCGTTGTCTAGAATACCTGTCTGTTAAAGATTGACCGTTGTCTAGAATACCTGTCTGTTAAAGATTACCGTTGTCTAGAATACCTGTCTAGTTAAAGATTGACCGTTGTCTAGAATACCTGTCTGTTAAAGATTGACCGTTGTCTAGAATACCTGTCTGTTAAAGATTGACCGTTGTCTAGAATACCTGTCTGTTAAAGATTGACCGTTGTTTAGAATTAGGTATTCTAGACAACTGTCAATCTTTAACAGACAGGTATTCTAGACAACTGTCAATCTTTAACAGACAAGTATTCTAGACAACGGTCAATCTTTGACAGACAGGTAGACAACGGTCAATCTTTAACAGACAGGTATTTTATACAACTGTCAATTGTTAACAGACAGGTATTCTAGACAATGGTCAATCTTTAACAGACAGGTATTTCATACAATGGTCAATCTTTAACAGACAGGTATTCTAGACAATGGTCAATCTTTAACAGACAGGTATTCTAGACAACGGTCAATCTTTAACAGACAGGTATACTAGACAATGGTCAATCTTTAACAGACAGGTATTCTAGACAACAGTCAATCTTTGACAGACAGGTAGACAACGGTCAATCTTTAACAGACAGGTAGACAACGGTCAATCTTTAACAGACAGGTATTTTATACAACTGTCAATCATTAACAGACAGGTATTTCATACAACGGTCAATCTTTAACAGACAGGTATTCTAGACAACGGTCAATCTTTAACCCTTTCTCCATGGGTACCATTTATTGTGCATAACACAAGGTTTTAGTGTCTTACATTCAAATTTTTATTGAA